GTTGAGAGTGCTAGCCTAGAAACCAGAATACTTTGAGTTCTATTTCTGCCTTAGGCAGAAGTCTCCAAACTTGGCAACTTTAAGACTTGTGGACTTATGCTGGCTGGAGAATTCTGAGAGTTGAAGTCCACAAATCTTGAAGTTGCCAAGTTTGGGGACCCCGGGGCTTAGGCCTGAAAGCCAACTAGGTGACCATGGACCAGTCACTCTTTGTCTGCTCAACCCACAGGGTTGTTGCTGTTGAGAAAATAGGGCAAGGAAAGAATATTATCTATGTTCCCCACCTTAAAATATTTATAAGAAATAATAAAAGCAGGAAAAAATAAATGATACAAATGGTATCTCTTTGGCTACCTTCAATATGTGTAAATAGTTAAAATAAGAGGGAAGGGAGAATCCATAAAATAAATTTAACCTGAAGAATTTATAATTATTGCTCTAAAATTTGCATAATAGTATTTTCCCAATAGTATTTATCACAAGAAAATGGCAGGAAACAAGTTGCTTCTAATGTCATCTTTCTGCTAATTTTGTTTTCATTGAGGAATAGGTGAATAGGGATGCAATAAATAATTTTAGATTTCCCTAGAATGTAATTTGGAAAAAATCATTTTGTATAAACACTGCAATCAATAGAGTTTAACTTTTTTGGAGTAATTTTTAACCAGAAAATATTACCTTCCTTTGCTTCTGAAATGCTCACTTAAGATTCTTAGCATTAATGGTTTACTTAATTGCTGAGGTCTCTGCAACAGTGCTATGCAAAAACTTGTAATGTTAATTATGCACAGGTAGTCCTCGACTTACAACAGTTAATTTAGTGACTGCTCAGTTACATTGGCACTGGAAAAAGTGACAGTTTTTCACACCTACACCCGTTGCAGCATCCCAATGCTCATGTGATCAAAATTCAGACACTTGGCAATTGGTTCATATTTATGACACTTGCGGTGTCCCAGGATCATGTGATTACCTTTTGCAACCTTTTGACAAACAAAGTCAACAGGGACACCAGATTACTTAACAACCAGGTTACTAACTTAACAACTGCAAATGATTCTCTTAGCAACTGTGTGGCAAGAAAGGCATAAAATGGGTCAAAACTCACTTAACAAAATAGCAAAATAAATTTTAGGCTCAATTGTGCTTGTAAGTCAAGGATTACCTGTAATGGAGAAATATTGTATTTGCCTTTCAAATTTACAGCATAAAGTTATCAATAACAGCAGACAAAATATTTGTAGAGAAACGACTCCTCCAATCCTAGGGATGGGAATTCAGAGATAGTATTTTTAATATTGCTCAACAAATATCACATTACAATTTTACTTCTTGAAGGACTCTTACTTTCTTGCTCCCAGCAGCATTAACACAGGTCACAGATCTATGTTGATATAGTGTGATACAGTATTCAAAACTCAGGTTTGTTCTTGCAGACTGATCTAGATTGTTCTAGTTTCATTATAAGCCATTGTATCCAATGACTCTACCTCATTTAACCATTCTGTCTTTCTCTGGGAGTGTTAACTTAATTATCTCCACCTTGTATCATTAGGATCATACATAGTATTTGCAATAAATATCAACAATGACTTTCCAAATAAAAAGTTGTGAAAAAAACAATATTCAGGCTAATTCAGGCATTGGATATATTTATCTTCTTTTAGAGTATATAACCTAAGGGCAACATGAGATACTTAAAAGCCTCAGTTCTGGACATCATAGTCCCTCTAGAAGTTGCTGCAAAATTGTATTGATATTTTTTACATGAAAAGCAGATCAAATTATAAATACATTCTAATTTAATGTGACAGTAAACAAAAGTGATGGGATAGTCTTAAATTAAATTTAGTGTATCCCACCCTCCAGCTACATTTTCTCTATTTACCATTCAGACTCCACTATGTCACTCAAAACCCAAGGTAATTTTTAGTCCAATTATTTATGCATTTCTGATCTACCATATATACTACTTAGAGGCAATGATTATGTAAGAAAAAAGAAAAATATGCAGTATTACTCCAGAAAGGACTATTTAGAGTTACCAGGAAAAGAAAACTTTTCAAGGACTTATAGACCAATTTTTTAAATGGCAAAAAAGTACGAAATAGCTCAGAAAAAAAGTGTTGTTTTTTTAAGGGAGCTTGAAAGGTACTTAGGATATTGATGGCATATTGGTCTATTAATTTTTGCCATCTTATTCAAAAAAACTGGTGATTCCTTATACTGATGCTAAAGGTTTTTTTTGGGGGGGGGGGTGAAGTTATAAAGGTAGTCCTCATTTAATTATCTTGGACAGGGACCATTTGCAGTTACAATAGTAATGAAAAAATAACTTTGTAATCAATATCAATATTTACAATCTTCATAGCATTTCTTGCTCTATCCCCTGCCATGTGTGTGTGTGTTCACCACTGCATTTACTTATTACCTTTTACCATGTTTTTTCCTACCCTCCCCCACTTCCAGAGTAGAGACATTGCTTTTAAAAAGCTATCTCTTGCTGAGCTGCTTTTTCCGGAGCATGTCCCTAAAAGTGCTAACTGCAAGGTAACAAGCTTAATTGCAGGCTGGCTGCTGCTGCCTGAAATTGACAAGACTTTAATCAGTTACACGCTGAAGGCTTTTGTTTGTCTCACAACTGAAACAGGAAAAGAGCTGGTACTAGTTCTTCCTTTACAATGTATAGCTGCTTACTTCTTTCATCTTCAATGAACACAAGTACAAACATCAATCCTCTTCTTGCTAATTATCCCAGCACTGGGGGAGCATACCAAAGGATGGAGAAGTGGCAAAAAAGAGCTACAATATTTACGCTTTTATCTGGCTTCCTCAAGAGTTTTGGATACCCTCTCCACGGTTTGGGTTTCCCCAGATTTTTGGAGTCATAACTTTCTGACACTATAAAGCAAAGGAAACTGAAATAAAATTGTAAGCACAGTTGCAAATCACACTATTTTTACTTAACAACCATTTTTCTTAATGATTGAGTTGCTGGTCACACAAGTGTAGTTGTTAAACAAAGACAACCGGTAAGAAGTTATATTGGATTTTGTACTGTTGGGTCTCTGACACCCAGACACTTTGCTCCATTACACTCTCCATGGCACTCTGCCAATGGTAGTGACCTGGAACTAGTGCTAAACATCTCTTAAGTTTTCTCTTTGACAGTGAAGTGTTATCATTTGATATATCAACTAATTGGGAAGGACAGAGATTTCTGGGAAATGCTTCCTACCACATTCTAGGGAAGAAATATTATCTATTGTGGTGGACATAGAAACAGTCCTGTAAATGTTCAAACAGTGATGTTTAAGAATGAGATCATCAGGAGTCTTTCTAGTATTGATACTTCCAGGACTAATTAATTTTTGCAGGAATCGCTTTATGTAAGGAAATCTGTCCTTTCTTTATATCCAAAAAAAGTGTTCCAGTATTGCAACCTGCACAATGGAGTCAACTATTTATTTTCTCTGATAACTGGGAAACTAAGTTTTTGAAAGTTTGGGAATACTGATTGCATTTTTTTTCTCCCTTTAGTGGATAGGAGAGCAAATAGATATGAGTAGATATGTGCCTCCTTCAATTTGCAGTGTGCCTCTACATCATCTAAAATGAATCTTCTCAAGACTAATTAAAATATGAATGAGAAAATGAGAACCCTGTACTAGATCTTTCTGTAAGCCAAGATGATAGAGATATTTAAGTACACTCCTATGATTTCTTTTCTGTAACATAAATTTGAATATTTTACATACCAGTTGATTCATTTTAAGTCTACATTGGCCAGTGGTGTATTAACCATTAAGCAGACTAAGCACGTGCTTAGGGCACCAGGCACAAAGTGGGCACTACAAAAACTTTTATGTAGCCTAAGCTTGGCTTCGTTTGTACAGTATGTACAAAGGAGGGGAGCACCAAGATTTGTCAGTGCTTAGGGCAACAGTGAGTCTTAATCCACCACTGACATTGGCCAACCAGAGCTTGTGCACTGGTGGTGTGAAAACTAAATAAGAACTTAAGTTCTTCTTAATGGCACTGGATCAAACACCTGAATCTTCAAGAAATATTCTAAGCTCCAGAAGAGCAACTGTTATTTTTCTTTCTGACAGAATGAGTGAATTGGCTGAAAGGAAATTGGCTGAAAGGCTTTACCATGGCTTTAGATTTGTGTTTGTAAGAAAAATGAGTCATGCTCTTTTGATTCCACAGGTGTGCATAATCTGACAGTCTTCTAATCATCACAGGGAAGAAACATTGCTTGTTTGCATCCTATTCTCAAAAAGAAATGCTGTAGCCTAGATTTCTAACTAATGCATACAGACTGGTAATTTCTTAAAGAGAGAAATTTTTTTTATAGAAATAATACTATAATTAAAGCAAAGGTACTTTCTAATTCTGAAGATGAAGTGGTAATTGAAGGAAGTGTGATATATTTTTCCTAGTCATATCAATTGTCTGTATTCAAAATGATGTGTAAAGTACCACCAATGCTCAGTGTTTGGAACAACTTTGGAGAGTCATTTGAAGATGAATACAAGAGTAGTTCTGACAGTGGAAGGGTAAGAAACATTAATTCCAAGTATAGGCATTTAAGAGGTCCACAGACCAATATTTTTTTAAAAAAACAAAAGACAAAGAATTCAGGGTATGCTGCTGTAAGATTTCATTCCTTTCCTGCCTTGACTAGCTTATTTCTCCCATAGGTGACCACTCACAGTATAAGAGATGCAAAACTCATTGGCAGTATCTAACCAGCTGAAACAGTTGTTGGGGGAATAATTTGGCATGAATGAAGGTTCACCTCTTCAAATCTGGTCATCTATGATACTCAGAAGTTTCTATTAGTGTACCGATAGACAGTGTTGTATTATCCATATGATTACCAGCCATGGTGGTGTAGTGAGTGGGGGGAGGAGGGAGAAAATTGAAAAGAAAAAGAAAAGAATGGTGAAAAGATAAAATCAGAAAAGGACTTGATGGCAATGTGGCTACAATACTCATAATGAACTCCTAAAACCTTTCATTTTATTTGCATTTTAACTCACCACTTATTTTTAAATTACTTGATTTTTCTTAATGCTTGATTTTTCTTACTTAAAATACAGTAATATGCTACTGGGTCTTATTTTATATAAAGTACACTTGCAGTCATGGAGGAAAGGAAGAAGTGACAATAGATGAAACTAAGGCATTTGGATATGAAGGTTTTTGCAGAGCATTTGTACTGGAGCAATATAGGACTAGATCAAGGGACAGCCTCTTTCTCTTTCAGGAAAGAAGGGATTATTATACTTATTTCTAAAATGTATGGAAGAGATATTAGACCTTTTCAGGTCTTTGGATTAAAAATGAAAAAAGTGCTATGAACACAAGATAGCACCTGTTTCCAATAACCAACTGACCTGAAACAACAGACAAATGCTTGATTCCAATGACAAATACATCCACTTTAAAAAGCTGTAAATAATTACTATATTTGCAACTTCACCCATTCTGAAAAACTGTACAGCCCTAATATATGTGTATTAAAATACTAGTTTATACGTTGATCATTTTTGCCAAAAAAGGATAAAATGCAGGAAAGAAATAACATACCAGTATTAAGATTTGAAAAATAGTGTGCATTTCAGTTTCCATATAGCTTTCGAAACAGCTTTCTAAAACAGATGCAAAGAGTCTACAAGAAATTGTCTGCTACACTATTTGGCAAATTTCTGCAACTTTTCTTTATAAGAGTTTCTGCTGTAGTCTAATATGATTGTGGATTAATAAATGCTAATGCAAGTGATTTTAATTCTTAGGTATACACTGCTGCCTTGGGTTTAATACTTCTGAACCTTAATATATTCAAGAGAAGATGAAAGACCGCCTTCAAGAGCTTAAACTAAGAGCCAAAGAACTACAATTATTTGAAGAGAACAACCATGCTATTAATGCTATTAGAGAGGAACAAGGAGAATTTGAACAAGCAGCTGTTATTTTTGAAAAGGAGCCCATAACTGAAAGGTACTTGCATGAAATACAACAACTTCATAATGACATTAATCGTTTGGCAACGGATGTTCAAAAGTTTAATCGGCAGCAGAAAAGTTTGATGGCTTCCATGAGAAGATTCAGTGTGCTTAAAAAAGAATGCAGCAATACAAAAGCAATTAAAGCTCAAGCAGAGCACATTAATAAAGGCTTGGATGATCTTTCAAAAATAGTGAAGAGGGAAGAAAAAGAATATAGCTCATCATCTGCCCTTAGAAGAGTCCTCCGTTCTCAGCGTGCAGTCCTATTCCATCGTTTCCAAAACATAATGATTATGTACAATAATGCCATAACAACCAAACAAGAAAAATGTAAGGATTTCATTATGCGTCAGCTGGTAGTGGCAGGAAAAGAAGTATCGGAGGAAGAACTAACTAATATGGTTGAACAAGGGAAATGGGAGATCTTCAATGAAAATCTGCTCACAGAAGTCAAGATTACTAAAGCCCAGTTATCTGAGATTGAACAAAGACACCGAGAACTGGTCAGTCTGGAAAATCAAGTGAAAGACTTAAGAGGCCTTTTTTTTCAAATCTCACTTTTGGTAGACGAACAAGGTGAAATGATCAACAGCATTGAAATGGAAATCATTAATGCTCAGGATTATGTCCAAATGTCAAGAGAAAAGTTCAGGCTGGCAGCTAAGTATCGAAAAAAGAATCCATGCAAAACATTGTGCTGTTGGTGCTGCTCCTGTTGCAAATGATTTGTCCTCTGGGCAATTAAAACTAAATATTTAATAGGACTAAAGATGTTATAGGGAAAGTGGGTTTGCTGTACTACTAAGAATATGTACAATTTTTTCACATGATATTTGCTTTCCTTAGTTCCATGTCTCTAATGCAGAATTTGCTGAGAGAAGAATTCACTATACACTGAAAATAAGAAAACGGATCGCATCCAATGTTCACCATGTCCTATTCCTTGCCACAATTGTGAAGAGGGGAATAGTCTTGTCCTTTCTAAATGCTGCTTTAAAAACATGTGACACAAAGGAGTATTATTATCAATGCATTATGATATTACAGGTACCCGTGAAGCAGCTGTTTGAGACAAGAGTTACAGGAACTGGGCATGGTGAAGAGAAGGACCAGGGGAGACATGATAGCAGTGTTCCAATATTTGAGGGGCTGTCACAGAGAGGAAAGGGCAAGCTATTTTCTAAAGCGCCTGTAGGCCAGACAAGGAATAATGGATGGAAACTGAACAAGGAGAGATTTAACCTGAAAATAAGGAGAAACTTTCTGACAGTGAGAACCATCAACCAATGGAACAGCTTGCCCTCGGAAGTTGTGGGAGCGTCATCACTTGAGACTTTCAAGAAGAGATTGGGCTGCCATTTGTAAGAAATGGTGTAGGGTCTCCTGCTTGGGCAGGGGGTTGGACTAGATGACCTACAAGGTACCTTCCAACTCTGATTATCTGTTATCTATTACAAAGGCACAACTGTACTGTCATATTTAATTTTAGCCAAGTTCCCAGAAATTAAATGCAACTTCTTAGCAATTTTGTTCAAATAGTTTGGATAAAGAAAAACTGCAAACCTATTGTAACATGTTAGGAAGTACAGGAAGTTTTCAGTTTACTTCCATTTGTTCAGCAACTGTTCAAATTTATGACCTCCAACCGTCAGCCATCTCAGTACCCTTGAGATCATGTGATTACAATCCAAGCAGGCATTTGGATGTCCGGTTCATGGTTATATGTCATTTGATCACGTTTGTGACCTTCCTTGCTGTTTTCCCACAAGAAATGTCAATGGGAAAGCTGGCAGAGAAGATTGCAAGTCACCCCAGTAAGATCCCCCAGCTTACCTGCATCCACACGACATGCTCTAAGACTATCTTGCAGTCATAAAGAGCTATGTCATGTGACTGCATTACTTACCGATGGCAATCTCAGTTGCAATCATAACCCCAAGACATGCAGGTCATTAAAAAGCAAGTGGTGGGAGTCCCAAGGCAAGGAGCACAAGGGTGGAAGTGAGGGGAGAGATTGGGAGGCCCAACGCAGTAGTGCTATGAGAGGCTGGGGGGAAGCTAGGGATGTCTTGAGAGATCGAGCATAAGCTGAGCATGAATTGAAGGAGACACAGTAGGGGTTCATTGCAATCTACATGTGAATTGGGGGAAGCTGGACAGAACTTAGGAAGCCAGTGTAGGCTGAAAGTGAGCTCTGGAGAATAAGGAGCTAATGGCAAAGGCTGACACGTGCAGGGTGGCTTACCCAAGTGACTTGTGACTTTCCCTGCTGCTTCCCCATGAATTTTGCTCACCAAAACCTGCCATGAAATGTGGTAAATGGCCATCATATGAGTACAGATCTTTGTGACATAATTGTGACCTGGTTCCTTATCACCCAATAGTGGTCATGGGACTATGGTGCTGTAATGGCTGGAACCTTGGGGATGGGTAATATACTTGCTTTTTTCAAGGCTACTATAACTTTGGATAGTGAAAGTTAGTGATGAAACCACACACTTAAATCCAAAATCAAGATTATAGACTCAGGCAAGCACACTGCTGCTGTATATTAGATATTCACATTGTATACGGATATCTAATCCTTCACATTAATTAGCATCATGTTACTGACGCTGCTAACTGCCGCAAAGCTAGTTCACCCCCTGTGGTGCACCATGGATGAACTAGCAATCTTAGACTGCCAGAACTACTCTATGGTAAAAAGCATTGTAGACTTCCCTGGCTCCTCATTCTATCCACCTCGGAAGGATGGAAGGCTGAGTCAACCTTGAGCCTGGTGAGACTGCCAAACTGCTGGCAGCCGGTGATTAGCAGAAATAGCCTGCAGTACTGCATTCTAACCACTGTGCCACTGCGGCTTTTATATACTTTGCCTCTAAATAAGTCACAACAGAATAATCTGGGCAAGTATACAAATATCCGAAAAACAAACCAATGAGTGTGTTAATACTATGTACTAAAAAGGAAGATAGAAAATTTAGGCATAATCATGGGTAGTCTTGAGAAATGACAGGCCATAACTATTACTCACACTCCAAAACTATATATGACCTTGCTTCAAAGTTATGACAGCTGCAGTGCCACCATAGACATTTGCCTTATGACAGATCATAGGGATGCTGCAGCACCCTCCATCTCTCTTTCCCCCCTATCCCATCCCAACGGAACTTATAGCATTTGGGCCTGCTCCCCAACGCTCCTGGAAGCGGTCACCATTTTTAGGCCCCTGACAATTCCTTGGTGGCTGCTTTCAGAACTTTGTGCGCCAATCAGCTGGCCAACATTTCTTATTTGTAAACATAGCTGCGCCTGCCGTTCTCCTAGTACAATGTAAAAAGCTTTTAACCTTTGTATTATCCAAAACTGAGACTTGTTTCAATAGAAAAAATTAAGCGTCAGTAAGCCTACCATCACATACTTTTTTCTTTTAGCAATGGTTTGTGAAGTATGTCACAAAAACTGGATTGACACTTAATATTAAACTAAAATCAGGTAATTCTCAGATTATGATGGCAATCGGAATTGGGATTTCCATTGCTAAGCAATGCAGTTGTAAAGCATAATGCCATATGGCTACACTGCTTAGCAATAGCACTCAGACTTATATACCGCTTTACAACCCTCTCGAAGTGGCTTACAGTGTCAGCATATTGCCGCCAACAATGTGGGTCCTCATTTTACCTACTTTGGAAGGATGGAAGGCTGAGTCAACCTTGAGCCTGGTGAGATTTGAGCTGCCAAATTGCAGGCAGCCGGCAATCAACAGAAGTAGCAGTACTGCACTCTAACCACTACGCCACCATGGCTTAGCATCAGCAATCCTGGCTATTGTCATGATCCCAGGACCATGTGGGTCATGAAATGAACAGGTAGAGTCCCAAGCAAGGAGCATGGGGGCAAGGGAGTATAAAATGCAGCTGTTGGGTGTATGGATGTTGTGGACAGTATTACAGAATGTGGGTGGGATTATAAATTGTAAGATATAATTCACCTGAACAGTAACTAACCACAATTTCCTGGGAATGGGAATGTAAAGGATTATCATTTTTTAACAGTTATAAGATAACCCACACCCACCCCAGTTCGATGTCTAGAATCTGTATTTATATATAAGCAATCGTTATTCTAAAATCAGTCTTTCATTCTACCTAAAATGATAGCATTTCTTCTTTTTCTGATAACCTTTCATGCACTACCAGAAAAAAAAATTCCTATTTAAATATCAACTTCCTCCACTAACATATAATATAAAAAGCCCTAAAGTCATTAGTTTAGCTTGTGTTAGTTTAAAAAGACAAGATTCCTTTGGTGAATATCTACTGCTTTTAGCATTCTGGAATTACTGAGGTAGTAAAAAAAAATCTAGACTGGTATAAGGAAAATACAGTTAACATATTATACAGGGTTTTATATTCTGTAAGCCATCTTGAGTCACAGTGTGCGAATAGGCGGCAATATAAATTCCATAAATAAATAAATAAACAAATAAATAATAAGGGCTTGAAATCCTTCTTCATATTGCTGAGCCAATTTTCAGCAACCTCGCCAGCACAACTGCTTTCCTAAATAATTAGTTAATATAAAAAGTTTTCACAGCAAATCATTCAAATTATTTATCAATTCTGATTATTTAAAATCACAATTATTTAAATATTTTCAAACTAAAAACATTTTTCAGACTTAGATTCAAACACATAGGCAAACATTATTAACAATAAGGAATGTCAAATGCCAACCAAAACACTTCAGATAGCAACAACCTATTTGTACATGTAAAAGTTTACGTTTATTTTTATGGATACAATGAGTAAATTTTTCTATTGTAAATAATGAGAATTCTTCTGGGATACAAATATTCTCCGGAGCAATTGAGTATTTGGAAATTCTGCAGCAACATGAACTATCTCAATGTTATTACCTGAATTTTCTGCCATATTATAACCAAGAATAAAAGATGAAAGAAATGGAATCTGTAAAACCACAGCAAAATGCAGAAGATAATGTTTTTAAAATATCCTTTTTTTCACAAATGCATTATAAAAAAGTTCAAAATACTGCAACCTTATAAGGCTTTTCTACTAAGAACATTTATGGGAGAATGTTATGCATCACAATATTTCTTTGAAAATTCTATCCGATTAGAACTATCTTAACATTTTGTTAATTTTTTTTAGTTTGTTTGATAATGTCGGTTCTCAGAAGTTAATAATATGTAGAATGCATCAATTGCACCCTCTTCTGTTGGGCATGCATAGCTCTCTAATGATATTTGTAATAGACCATTTACATTTTAATACTATATCAATCATCAATAGTCAAAAATCAAATAGTCATAATAATCATAATAATAAAATATTTACTACCATAGAAAAGACTAGCATATAAAAAAAAGAGTATACAGAATCATTGTGGACTTTATTTATGTAACACAATTTCCCCATTATGTAACAGTAGCACACTCATTTTCAATACATAATATTTAAATATCTTTAAATTTATGCTACTTACACTAATACAGGTTTCCCTGATATCTTGGGATGTCTTAGAACTTCTGAAATTGTTTCTTTTGTCTCTTCCATTCTTTCCACATCACTTGAATCCACAACAAATACTACTCCATAGGATTCAGCATAGTAATTTTTCCAAATGCCCCGGATACGTTTTCCACCTCCCAAGTCAAAAATTGTGACTTCAAACCATCGTTGTTTAAGTTCAATTTTAGAAAAGCCAACTGTTGGAGCCACATCTTCAGGGGATTCTGGTAAAATTGAAATATACTATGAGAGACAGTTAAATGAAACTTGAATAAGAATTCTGATTTATTCTAATAAACTAATAATGTACTGAATTGTTTGAGTCTCCCACAGGTACAGTTCAAAGAATAGGCAGTATTGAGTTATTTGTAAAAATAATAAAGGATAGATACAAGTAAATAAATAAAAAATATTGCCAACATTTTATATTTTCCCCAAAACAATATACAGAGGCAAGCAGAACTGAGGGTTAGCAATTATGTGGAGCTGGGAAGAAATTACAAGGCTTCATACTTGTAGAATAAGAATAAAGAAAAGAAGCTTGGGGATTACTCCTACATTACACTACTCGTAAATTATACAGACATCTAATTGTTATATAATAGTTACATTCAAATTACAAACTGTACTATATGTAAGAATATCTAAACAGCAAGTAAATATATTTCTATATGAAAACAAACATTTATTATGACTTGATCTATTATGAATTCGGATATGACCAATTACCCTTCATTAATTCCAAGCTATAATAGAGACCTATACTAATGCTAAATATTTTATTTTACTGTACAAGTAAAAATTTTAATCATTAGTTTATGAGCATATCAAAGGTAATACTTCTTCCAGAGCAACAGTAATATTACAATAAAGCATGCTTTTACTGAAAATGTATTTCAGACTTTCACTATACATAAAGAATTTTAATGAAACTTGTTAGCCAGGATCTAGAGAATTCCATATGCAGTGTTGATATACTGGGGGAACTGAATGAACCTGCATGAAGTGGATTTCCCTAACATACATAAACTTTCCCGAGAACAGCCACTTAAATAAATGGGGCAGATAAGCCTTAGGTGTATATGAGCTCTTTTTAGTCAGTTGATATATTCAGTAGATTTAGGGTATTCTAAGATATCTAAAATATGCACAAGAAACCCATAGACAAGCATACAATTATGCGCATTTCTACCAACCAAAGAAGAGCTAAATAAAAGATGTAAGTTAAAATATGAAATCTGTATTATTTTCAGAGATGCTTCCCTGTCTTGGACTGCCATTTGTCAGAAATGGTGTAGACTAGATAACCTACAAGGTCCCTTCCAACTTTGATTAGCTGTTATCTGTCTTTAAATTCTATGGATGGGGATGGTTGTTGTTATACTTTCTTTCTCCCAAAACAATGAGATATTATTTGACTTAACAGAGTAAAATATTACAATAAGTATCCAATCCTGATTACAACCAATAGTCTAGTTTAAACATGAAAAAAACGTTTTAACAGTAATATTTTGAAAATTGTAGATTTAAAAAGAATATGCAACTTACCTCCTTGGATTCCTTTTACTGTTGCAGTTTTCCCAGCATTATCAAGACCCACCATGATCAATGTCACCTTCCTTTGAAATAACAACAAAAAAGGAACAAAAAGGAATTAGAATGTTGTCTTAAAAAAGCACATATTTAACAACAAATAAATATACTTTCAATATTACTATCCAAAACCAAATAGCAAAGATTCAACAAAGATTTCATCTATTTTACAAAGTGCAGGTAAGTAAGCAGTTTGTAGCAAATTCTAAAACACGTGGAAAAATATAGGAAGGGGAAAGGAGCAGCAGAGAAAGACTTAACTCTTATTTCATTAAATAATTTGAAATGCTTATTTCCAGTTTTTGCCATCTAGGATGAGTTGCCTTTTATAGGATGAGCTACCAAGAGACTCACCTGCCGTCTCTTAACAGTTTATGACTATTTTCTTTTCTATTACTTTTTCAGTCTCCTCAAAAATTTCTCACATAAGCCTTGTTCTCTGTAAACAAGGCTAATGAATAACTGAAGTATGCCTAATGTAAGATTTTTGCAGCATGGCCAAGAGAATAGGCAAAAAGCACCAAAAAAAATCTGTCATAACCTTAAAATGGATAATATTCTTATGTTTTGTTTCCCTCTGATCTTAAGATGAACTCCCTTACCCATTCTTATTTCCCCCCATATATCAGTAACACTTAATGCATCTAACTACACTTTTTAAAAATATATATGACATAATTAATTTAAATTAGAGAAAATCTTCCTTTACTTCATAATATTTCAGATAATATTTTGCCTTGGTCTGTTCTATGTAAAAATGAGTTAATTACAGGTCTACATATCTTCGTACTTGCTGTACCATCTATAATCTTCAAAGTTACTAAAATGAATATTTTAAAGCCTGGTTATTTACCTGATGGGTTCTCGCCACCGCTTTAGCCAGCTGCAGCAATTGGCCATCAGACTGTACATTCCTTTCCAACAGCCATTCAAAGTACCAAATAAACTGCAGATATGGTATGTTGACTAATTCCAGAATATTCAATGAAGGTGAACTCACAGTTGAAGAGATCAATTTGAATATTGCCTTATTACCAAAATAAAAAAGGAGAGAGTAAGAATATACAATAAGTTCTTGGCAACTTTATTCTTTCAAACCGATTTCACTAAAGAACTACCGGTACTTCTATAACATAGCAAGCACTTTGCTAAATTGAGCCTTTATTTTGTGGAGCCACATTTATTTAAACTGTTGTATTTACAGCAGACTGCAGCACACTCATCTTTTATCCAAGAAAAGCCATTTTTAGATAGTCATGCATATGAAATAATATAGCCATCGTTTTCTACCACATTATTTAATCAGGAAAGAATTGACTGAATATCCAATCAAAAATTGGATTTGTAAAAGTTACATTCAGCAAAAACAGGATATTCCCATAATTCCCAGAATATAAAATATTTTTATTAAAAAGTTAAAACTAAACAAATCAAAGGGAAAGGGAAACTAACACAGGTTGAATAAATGAAAATAGAATAAAAATTAAAAGCTTTCTTCATTATCAAATGGATAGAAAAGTGGGCCATAAATCCAAAGTATATTATTTTTTAAAAAATAATTTACTGTATTCAAAGCAGGCAGAAAAGAATTAATAGTGATTTAAATGCAATAAATACAATATTTCCTAGAATTTTCATACTACAGGCACACTTCTGAGCATGCACTGACTAGACAACCACTATCAGAAAGACTGGTAACAAGGCAGAATCATCTTACAATCTCCTTAACATAAATACATAATAAAGTAGGTCATTCTATAATAAATGAATTAAAAAAGAGAGGCACATCATAAAATCATTAACAGTACTATTTGTAAAAAGTAATGAAAGCTTTATGCATCCAATTCTGACATGTATTTTTTGTAAGACACATATGAAATATTGTTTCATTAATATATTATTCAATTAAATCAGATCTGCTGCAGGCTGTAGGCTGCTTTGTAGAATGTACCCAAAAACTTCTAATAGAGCATATGTATGTGGTTTTTAAAAATGCAGTTAAAGATGTAATTAACGGCACTGGAATTAGAACCAGTAATTATAAAAGAATAGATTTATTTATTTATGATTAAGGAACAGGTCTGAGAGCTTCATGGGTGGCTTTTAAATCGTACCTAAAGTTCATTCTGCAGCTTATTGTCTGAATGAACCATCTAATTTTTCAACACTACTTCATACAGGCTTAAGTGTTTTATGACACTTTATGTACATCTAATGTAAAGAATACAACTATGATTAATGTATAGATAATTCTGATTCATGCTGCTGACTCTCCTCAAATGCTACAGGTAAAGTCAACTTTCCTTCTTGATAGTGTATTAAACAGCTCAAATAATTACAAAACACTGTAATCCCTTATAGACTAAATATGCACACCCCCAAAAAGTGTTTTTTGTGAGCTATTATACAAAGTTAAAAATAATTGTAAGCTTTGGTGCTATATTACAAAGTCACTGCTTTTATATTCTGCGATGTGCTGTTCTCTGCAACAAAGCAGAATAAATATTAATTGCATTTCATCATCCATTTTAAATTCCTGTGTCATAAGCTCTAGACATGAGCGTGTTCACACGCGAGACCCACCGACTAGGACAGTTATTCAATGCCACTAAATCTTTGGGCTGGCGAAAGACTGTCGTATCAGCGGTGCCCAACAGCCTAGTACTGAACAATTTGGACCGAATTATGAGAACTGCCCTGTTAGAGTGATTAGGGGGAAGGAATGCGCCAAGCCTTCGGCCTGTAACAAGCAGGCTAGGTGCCTCCCTCGCCCCCACGTTAAATTAGATTCAGAAAGTTCTCCCGCCCCCGAGGGCCTCCTGACCGTCTTCTCGTCTCCCCGTCGCTGAGAAATCCCATAGTAGCCATAGATTCTCGGGGGCGGCACTTCTACAAAGTCACGTGACCGCGCTTCTTTCGCAGGTTTATCTCTACGTTATCACGTGATGCTCCCGGAGTATGCTTATTGGCTAGTCTCCGATAGCAACAGTGCGCAGGAAGGACGCGTAACTACGTCGGTCTCCCTTAGCTACGAGTGGGGGAACGGGAGCGGGGGGGGGGGGGAGAATGAGGGGAGATAAACAGAGACACAGCAAATGAGTAAAGGAAATAGCCAATGAAGGATTCATTGACTGATGGCACCCACCAATCATTGGTCCCGCAAGGAGGCAGGATTTAGTTTCCAGAGTGACGGACAGGCGCCTGGAATTCTTGAATTGGATTGCCGCTTTATTCCCTGTGCGCGTGCGCTCCTGCAAAGTGACTGGGGTGGGGGGGAAAACCTGTGAAGATTTTTCAAAACTATGTAGCCAGATTCAATATAATCTCATTCTTAAATAGTGCCAAAAAATATTTTGATAGTCTACTGCATGATCACAGATCTGGAGAAGTTTAACATTTCCACATGTTTTGCAGAGTTTATGCACCGAAGACAAATTCCTTATGTGTCCAATCACACTTGACCAATAAAGAATTCTATGTTTCCTCCTTAGGACAACAGAGTAGGACCTACAGGACTATTGATCCTACCTAGAGTCAAGCACCTTGTAATTCAATAAGACTTTAATCACTTATTCTTGATCCAGTACTAATAAGTGATCCAGAAAAGCACCTTGCTACTTCTACTCTAAAGGAGTCTCATCAAGCAACATTTTTCTTTTCTTTTTTTTAATGATTCTGAGGTCTTTGACCAATGTGGGGCCACAAAGAGAAGAGAACTTCTGAAGTAGTTCAGATGTCATTTGAAAAGCTGTCCTGATTCCTGTTTTAAGCACCTTCTGATTGAGGGCAAAATTTGTTCTTTTGAATCAGGCAACAAAAATAATTTAAGCTACCTTAGCAGTTAGATATCCTTTATTTCCCACCAAAAGCTATCTTGGTAAGACATAATTTACTATATTAGAAATGATAACTGTTTCAAAAATGTATGAATTTTACTTGTTTTGCTGAGTTTCTTCATTTGTTTTAGTCAATTTGAAATGTATGTCACCACCACTTCCACTCCTAGCTTGTTGAGGAATTATGACTTACATAATTCTATATGCACTATATCTATTTGGTTTATCTTAAATTTAATTAGAATGTCATTCAAATGGAATCATTTACAATAATTTACATAGTAGCCTTAATAAACAAGGATTGTAATATATAAAATATTAACCAGATGTGTGTGTGTGTATTTTGGTAAAGTAGATCTTATATATCCCTTTATCACAACCTTTGTCTCCTTTTTTGTTTTGTTTACTAATTTGATGGATTGAGATAAGAAAAGCTTGTACATGTATTGTGTCCTCAAGTTTGAACAAATGGATTTCCCTGTGTGGACTGATGTTTTGTTTTGTTTTTGTTAAATGGCCTTTGTAAAAACAACTATCCATTCACAATTATCAGACAAGTGTCTCCTATTACAGGAAGTATTTTTTAAAAAAATTGTGAGTATATCTGGTCACTTATCTTGGCAGGATTACAAAACTGGTTGCCCTTGCCTTTTTCCAGGACAATTTTTTTTCCAGTTTCCTAGTGTAACCAACAGAAGTCCCTATTTAGCTTCAGATATCAGCCAAGCTACTACTGCTAAGGCTTTCTGTCAGGTGCTAAGAATGAGGTATACACATTAAGTTCCAGTGTTATAGCCCATGTCTATACACATGAATCTAGTCAATTACCAGCCAGCATCAAATTCACACCAGATGAGTGAATGGAATTTGAAAGTTTGGACTTAAATCTTGTGGGAATGTAAGGATTCCAGGTTGATAACTATGCTCCCTGACTCTGCTTGTCCTTTTCTTATACTTTCTACAGTGATCAAACTTTTAAAAAGGCAAAGCTTCTAATCCGTGAAAGTATATGTCAATAAACTGGTTGCTGTTCAAACCTGGAGATCATGGATACAAAAAAAAGGAGCTCCATGCATCAACTATTCTTTTGAGGACCCTCCCTCCCCCCCCCCAAAAGGCCCAAAATGGCTGCCTTAAGAATTGCAGATACTTTAGTGACTATTTCATCACACACACACCCCAAAAAAGATCAAGGGCAACTTCACCAATGGTCATGATTCCTCTAGCTTTTGGAGTGTAACATTGACAAGCAGGTCCATGTAGGACTGCAGCATTGTCACACAAGCCTAGATTTATCTAGATTTTTTTTTAGTCAATAGGATTCACTAACAGATGCCACTTAAAATGCCATGCAAATTTCTTTCTTGTTCTTCAATAAGCTATTTCTAGTCAGAATTCAATTGTAATATGTAATTAAAGCCAAGACTGAGCTAGTTAACATAGTAATTCATTTAAAGTCATACATAGCAATTCACTGATGTTTTTGGAGGATGGTCTTCAAAAGGCTTTATTTGCAAAATTGCAAACAGTGACACGTTTTCCAAAAAAAATTAAATGCACTACCGATTTATTCAGCAAAAGCAGTTGTCTTGAGATTGCATAAAGCAGAGCTGCAGTATCAGCCACAGAGGCTGGGATCTCACGTGCATTAAATTACGGTGGCTTCGTTTCTAGTGCACTGTGCAAATACAACCTCACGGTAGCCAAACGGCAGCTCTGATTTTGGAAGGAGGAACCAGTTGAAGGTGAATGCCCCTTTGTGCGTTATTGGCAACGGGCCTTGGGAAGAAAGCAACCAAAAAGGCAATTTCGCCTCCTCTCTGCCCCTTTCTCTCGTACGCACTCACGCAAGGACACAGACACACAGGGTCCTTTTGAGCAAATGGTTAGAGACCAGCCCCGCCGGGAGGTTCAGCAGCTTCTGGGTCAGTGCCATAATGTCCTTCCCTCGGCCTTCCTGTTTACCCACCGCTTGAAATGGACAGGACCGCTTCCAGGAACTGTCTTGCCTTCGAATGAGGCCACCCCCCAACCAGTCCTCGTTTCCCGGCATCGTGCGAACAACCGAACAGCAACTGAGAGCAGATGCCAGCATCCGCTTCTTAGCTCCGAAAGAAATACGCCGACCCAGTTAGCCTACTAACTGTCAGCTTCACAGAATGAGACTCCTGGACGTTATTTCCCTGCTTATTTACTGCCTCTTTATTACAACGATCGCGATCTCCTCTTCAGAGGCAAGGACGTGTAAGTAAAAATTGGTCTACTTTCCAACTTTCGATAGAGTTCAGTGGGGCTTGCGTTTTTTTAGTTAATTGAGTCCTGTTTTGTGCTGTCTTCCTCAAGCTGTTTTCAGGACTGGAAGAGATTGTAAGGAATAGTAACGGAAATAATTATATACCGACATATTGTAGTGTATAGCCTCTTCTGTGAAAAGAATTCTGTGCCCTTCGAATCCCTAGGGATGCAACTTGATTATTTGTACGTTTACTCAAATAAATATCACGAAGTTTAATGGGACGTTGTTTTATTTTATGGCGCTGCTGGCTTAGATGGATGTGGTTCCTTGTTGCCAGGATTGTCTGAGTCTGAGAGATTCTGATGTGCCTTTAAACTCTGCAAGATCTGAAATAGCTTTTTAATTTTCACTAAGCAAGTATCTTTTCCATCTCTATAAGCAATCATATTTGTAATAAGGCCAAACTACAGGAGACTGAGTAATTATCATTGCAATGACAGAGAAAGAGAAATTTCTAAACCCAGCAAAAGAAGGGGGGGCATTAGGGGTATTGTGAAATCATAAAAGTATTAAAAAAATCTACAATCACTTCTGTGATGAAAAGTTTAAACAAGTATTTTATGTAGAGGATGCAAATTGTTGTTTTTAATTATGTCTTCCTATAAATACATTTAAATAACACATGCAGCCTATTTAGAGATAAATGACCTTTCATCATTTGTATCTACAGTAAACTTAACTGAAAACACGTTTCTTCCTATCCTCATAACATTGTCTTCTATACATGCCCATCCTACACAAGCTTAAACCATGCTTAGCTTTTCCAGTCTGGTGGTAAAGTAATGTGTTCTTTATTCACATACAATTCAAGACAGACGCTAGATGTAAAAAAAGGTTAGGTTTTGTTATTCATTACCCTGAGGGGAATCAGGTGACTGTGTGGACTTGAAACAGATGCAGAAGAGTTAAGGGCAGCAGATTTCATGTCTGAATAGTTTTCTGCTGTCCCTAGGATAGCTGAATAAGCCCTTCAACTTTGCAAGACAGAAAGTTTCAACATCTTAATTTTAGGTTAAATTAGGAGATGAAAGCAGATTCATTAGCAGCCCACGGTTTCCCTCATTCAGTGTAATATAGTTTTGCTTGTTTTCCCCTTCCTTATTTCATTCCATAACAATTTTACAAATTAATTACGGAGGAAAAAAGAGAGAAATCCATGGCTTAAGTATGTTCTAGCAATAGAACATACTTAAGTATGCTCTAGCATACTTAAGTATGTTCTAACAAAGGAAAAAAGAGAGAAATCTTAAGTATGTTCTAGCAATCTGTATAGAAACTTTCATGTTTAGATACAATTTCAACATACTGAAGGTATGGAACATGTGACCTTTACAGATTTCACTAGGACACTGAGATACTTCATCCCATTATTTACCAGACTACTCGTAATCTTATGGTAATAAAGGACAAGAAGTCTAACTTCCACTGAACTTCCTCAGAACTGCTTCAGATTTTGCATGTGGGCCTTGACATATCCTGTTGTCAGATTTTTAAATAGCCAAAACAAGATAGTAAAAGGAGACTAAGGATAAGGATGATGGAGATGACAGCATCAGTTAGTGTCAAATTGCAGCAAAACCTAGGGTGATCTATTGTTAGTAATTGTAGAACAAACTAGTTAAAAACCCAAGAAAATTATATATGTTATATAACAATATAATATATATAATATACACATCAGGGAAGTATATGGAAGAATAACAGGAAACTGTCTCTAATGCTGTATGCTGGTCTGACCATGAGTGTGTTATTGTAAATAACTCTTTAGTAGTTAATTATAAATTATATAGATC